TGCCTTCAGACTTGTCGAGTTACCGGAACGCTCAATCTGTGCTCGGTAGAATACTGGCATCTTTAAGAAAAACGAGATTGCTTGGCTTTTTATTTAGATTAGTGATCATAAACCAGTTAGCGTTAGTTGCTAACATGCAATATGTAACCTCGGCCACTAGGGGCGTCTTAGTCAAAACAGTAACAAAAGACAGGGTTTGATGACATCGTGAATAAGCGTGGGATCTTGGGAGTAGTTGTCTTCGCAAACATTGCCGATGAAAATCTACCTGATGCGCAAATCATGTTTTCAGATGAGGTAATGTAGTTTTGTTCACGTTACGCAGCAAATAGCAGTGATCCATCGTGATCCATTATGAGTGACCAATACAACAACTGGTTAGCACTGTGCTCTTCATTCGTCATGAGTCTTTTGCCCCAGAAGTTAAAGCAGAGATGGACACACTCAAAATAAAACGTCCTGTTACCTCGAATATAATTGGGCGTTTCTCTGGGTTTGAACTTGGAAACATTTTGGATAAACAAGTCAACAATATATACTGTACAACATAGATCTATATTTGTTTTTAGATATTTAATGACGACTTACATGTGATTTCTTTAACTAATGAACGTGTCAGAGCAGAACAAGAACAGGTCAGCAGCAGCGGCTCCTCCGCTCCGCAGAGGCCAATTTAGATCAGTCAAGTGGAAAACCATTAATCTTTAAAGCATCTCAGAGCATCAATGACACAACTCAGACTGACAGCAGCTGTAAGTCTGCGAGAGCAAAGCAGGATAATCACTGGATGAGGGTCGATATTTGACTCAAGCATGAATTCAAAAGCCAAACTATTGGTAAATGTGTGAACACTTAACAAAGCGGGCCTTTGGTTTGTTAACAGTGTGTCACATGTGTTCACATCAGCACAAGGGTTCAGGGATTTTACCAGATCCATCAAAAATGAAAAAGAGCCGAGGTGCATTGAGCTCATGTCTTTCTGTCGAGTTCCTCAAATGAATGAAAATGCACAGTCCCATATTATTATGATTAAAGTACAAGATGTCTCTTTTTGTCCTGTCCGTTCATCATCCTTCATGACACAAGCTTCAGGTACAGTCTGGACCGTTATAGCTCGGAATCAGGTTTTTCTTCTTTTACGTCTTTTTTAGTGGACAGCAGCAGAGATGAATAAAGCATAAGGTGCAGTGAAGCGAAACATGACTTGCACTTCTGTTTGATTTCTCCACATGATGATGCAGGATGACGACTGACATGTGAAATGTGTCTCAGGGAACTAAACAGCAAATATTATATATCAGTTTTATGTGGCAGTTTTTTTATTAAAACACAACCCTGAAGCCATAACTCTAAAATACTGTCGCTAATAGGAATATTTTTCTCCATTTCATAGCCGAAAACAAAAGAGGCTAAGATTCAACTATCTTTGGCTTTTGACAAAAAGTATGAAATGATACTCGGGTTCGGCTTTCTGCGTCACTATGCTGCACACGTCTGTAATCACTGAGCTCGTGTCGGATTCAGACCCAAAAGATGGGTTCAGATTGGGCTTGGTCAGATTTCTTGAGACGCACTCTTGTGCACATGTGTGTAAACTACATCTTGTTTCATCAACTGCCACTCGAGCCCATCTCAGGGTTGATTAGTCACGCACCAGCTCCCTGTCCACACAGCCCGACCTCTCAACCTCATTTCTCATTCCCCAATCAGCCAATGTCACCAGCCGTAATTGTGGCGTCAGGCTGGTGACTTTCTTTTTGGTGCAGACCCACTTCTCCACCCACCCCTCCTTTTGGGAACAAGAAGGAGATGGAGGTGAAAGTGTTACCCATAACGCCGCAAAAGTGAAGCTAATGCCGACACACTCCCACACAAAGATTCAGACGAGAACGTCTAAGGCACAATGTAATATCTGAAACCACGAGGGGATATTTTACTTCTTGTTCACATTTTGGTTTTCCAGGCCTGTGAATTTGTACATAAAACTGCTGAAGGCAACAGTAACAGTTGTCAGGAAATAAAAAGTCGTACATACACACATAGTACACCTACACATTCACATATACACACAGGCTGAGGTCTGATCTTTGCCTTCACAATAAGATTGAGAGCGAATCCGATACATAAACAATGCTGCAACAATAAAACAAAGACATTTGTCCTTTTTGTTTTAACAGACTCAGTCTTAGGTTGTGTGATTTTAAACACTCTCAAATGAACATTCACTTCATTTTCTTGAATGGCGTGTGATAAATGGCAGAGAGGGAAGAACGGCGTCAAGTTACAGACTAACTCAAATATTAATGACGGTTTCCGAGGACAAAACAGGCTACACGATGTATTTACACAGAAGATAAACGCCACTTTACATGTGAGCCGTGATAAGAGATTTTCACACGTCGGCATCAACGCAATCATCTTATCTGTGTTATTCAATTTAAAAAATGCCATTCAAACAGCTCAGTAACTTGGGGCTAAAACAATGTCTCCCGTGCAGATCTGGGGACAAGCGGGCTCATCTGTTGTCTTCAGATTAACTCGCCTATTCCCCTTTGGTGCTACTGCAGCCAGACGCTTGCTTGTGACTGCATCAAAGACAGAGGATGATCATCTTATCTCACAATCTCACATCTGTACCAAAGACTAATTTCAGCAGCCGGTGCATCCATATTTAAGAGTCCGTTTCTAGATTGACAAGTCGTCCCTTTGAGCCAAAAGCTTCTCCCTCAGCAGCAACAGACGGCTTTCTAGCACTCCCTGTCTGCCGTAAGCTGATAAGTCAGGGCTGGTGGAACCAGTCCTTCAGTCGTCCTTGGAAGGAACAGAGCGGCTGAGAGAAAACGTGTCTGTGGACCTTTTTTTCCTGGGGCTCACCCTCCGGGCAAAATAGGGTTAAAAGAGTTGGTGACATCAGAGTGTTCGCGTGTCTGTTGGAGCATGTATGAAGAACACTGCAGGTTGTGGATGTTTCAGTGGAGGTGGATTGAAAGAGCAGGACTTGTCAAGTCTCCACTTCACACATTCAGTAAATCACAAAACACACTACGGGCAGAAAGGTTAGGTTAGCTTCTGTTAGCAGCTAGTCTCATCTTTGGGGTCTTGCAGCACAATATGAAGATATGCTGCGTTTTGTGATTGGTTTCTATGATCATATTTTGCCAATTACATGTATACTCATGCTTATACAAATGGAGGGTCCGCTCTGACAACAGTGATTTCTTCGAGAATAAAAATATGGATTAACAGTTAAAACTGAGGAGAAAAGAGTTCAAGTCAAGCATCATGAAAAAAACACCGAAATCAGGGATTTTATTAAACGGCCTCTTGAAGTCTAGACGGAAAGAACTTCTGATTACTGGCTGCTAAAGAGCAGCTATTATCTTTAACTCAACATCTAAAGGTTGCCTCAGAACTAAGGCTCTTTTTTCACTCAGTGGAGCGAACAACTCCGCCAAGGCCAAACAATCCTACCCACAGTTTTCTAGTTCTTATAGTTGAAATATAAAAGCAAAAGGAAGTGGATAACCTGATGGATTTAAGTGTGCACCAAAACTGACCAGGTTCTTCCCAGGCCTCATCCCTCCACCAAGTTTGGTGGTAACATCCTTTCTTTGGTGGAGGCACCCATGGTAACAATGATAGGACACATTTCTTTTACTCTGCAAAGCATCTACAGTTGACGGTGATCAGAGATGCAGCAGCTACTTGTTTCAAACAGATTCTGTCACAAACACGTCCACTGGAGGCTTAGACTGAAGGAAGAGGTAGTGACATAATAAACTGTGAGATATTTCAGGCTCCACTAAATTCATTCATCGGTGCAAATCAAGTGGGAGTCTGGACAAAAGCCCTTCGCAGGCACATTTTCACATTGTAATAAAGACCCAATCCTGCGGAGACAGTTAGGAGAGTGGAGCGAGGTTGTTACGTTAACCTGACCACAAAACGTATTAGATTCAAATAGGAACAACTGAGCTGAGCGGTCTGGTGTTTGGACGGGATTATACCACATCAAAGACCCTGCTCTTTTATAATGCCTGATAACGCTTGAGTGGCTTAAATACATGCGTTGAAACAAAAGGTGGTTTTCCCAGGAACCTTGAAGTAACATGGCTGCTGCTTTTCAATGGTTAGTTCACCTGACTGTGGGAAAAGGGGATGTGGAGGTTGGTCTTTGTTGCACGCAGAAAAATGGTTTTGTTTCAGGAAAAGATCTTCGATCAAGGTAAGACTTTTTAAAGGAGACGTGTTATATTTATTCAGTTTTTCTTTCCTCTAGGGTGCTATTTGGGTTTTTTTTTCGGAATGTACAAGTTATGGAAAGTTAAAAAGCTCAGAGTCCAGAGCAAAGGAAGAAACACTGCTTCTGAAACAAGACGTCAGAAGTCCGACCGCATCGTTGCACCTAAACATTTTTAATCATTAACCCAAATAAAAATGATGAACATGAAAATGAGTTAAATATGTTTCCTCTAATAAATGAATTTGAATGATAATTCCTTGTAATGTAATTAATTATTCAATGTTTTATCATGTACTGTCGCATACATGATAAAACCGTGTTTAAATAAAACAAGAACAAATGTTTATGAACAGGCGTCAACCTCTCGATCCGTTTTGATCCGATTTGAGATTCACCCAAACTGCTAAAAAGTGAGTGACTGGTGTGGAAACTTTTACTGTGACACAGCAACAGGAAGTGCAGAGTTTGCTTTGCAACGGGAGAATCATGTTATTACAGCTCGGATGGCACAGCACAGGAACACGATAAGTCAACAGTGTGGTTCTTATCTGGGAAATAGAAGGAAGTAAAGGAATGAAACAATCCTCCGGTGACAAACAGCGACGAAGCCTGTAACTACTGAATTAAACAACGTGGCTGAAAACTGTAAAAACAAAATGTTCCTGCTTCTGTAAATAGCCCGGAGAACTAGCGAACACCTTGTGTGTGCTGCAGAGGTGTGTCACTGTTTGTGGCCGGGCACAGAGCGGACACTCACCACTGCTGCGACTCTTGCGGTTGGCCTTCCCCCCCGTCAGCAGCATCTTCAAGCTGTTCCTGAACATCACTGCAGCAGATGCCCTGGACCAGACTACAGAGAAATCTGTTGGGAGACGGAAAAGACAACACACATTAATGCTTCTGAGATCTGGGGATCTTAATATAATCCTGGAGTTAAAATCATCAGAGCAGTACAACGAAGCCAGATTAACAAGACAAGAGAGGAGAGAGAAACTTTAAAATAAATTAATGTGAAGTCATGTGTCAGAAACGGGGAAAATCCTACTAATGGCTCATGATATAATCTTATGTAGGTCAGCAAAGTGCAACATCAGAAGCTTCCTCATAATTAGGGCAAAGTACAGGGAAGTAGCACAGCTTTTATTACTCCTGCCTTCCAGATAACTTTTTTCATACAGACAGTGGTGCGGTCCATGCAAACTGCTTACGATGCATTTGTTTTTTTAACGCAGCACATAATTCGCAGTCACACACAGATGGGAGGGAACTGCCGTGCAAGGCCGTCGGGACCAATTGGGTTCAGTGTCTTTTTCAAGGAGGCTGACATGTGGAGGCAAGAGGTCAAGGATCGAACCACCAGCCGTGCAGTTAATGTTCCACCCGCTTTACCCGCTGAGCCACACATAACTTATTATTGCATCGCTGTTATAGTGCATTGCTATTAAATCCATCACACTATAGTCTAAAGACAAAAGATAAACCTACCTCTATGTTTTCTAGATGCATACTGATATAAAGCTCTGACGTGGAAGCAAATTTAAAAAATTTAAAAATGTATGTATATGTAAAATATTGTACTACTACCATAAAAACATTCCCTGTGCTACAGGAGCAGCAGTTAAAACGTCCATGAAGGTGGCCCACATGTCGTGATCACTGTCAATCGTGATGTTTAACCCCATTTTTTAAACATCAAATAACTCATTTAAACCAAAACTTATCAGAAACATGAACACTTGACATTAGTGTGATAAGAAATACCTAAAATCGAAGAAAACCTCTTTGATTATTTGGTGTTTACTTGTATTTTTTACTTTGGTCCGTGTCCCGTCTGTTAATATGGAGAAGGCAGGGTTTGTGACCTACACTGCAGCCAGCCACCAGAGGGCGATCAAGATACTTTTCCTTTACTTTGGCTAAACCCCTCATGAGTTAACGCTGACGTCTGTGAAGTTTGTGCAAATAAGGTGAAGCAGCCAAGTGTTTTATATTTGGAGGATGTGATTCAGTTATGTCGCATGTGGAGCAGACATTTTGTTCGGACGATACAAATCATACTTTGTCGAGTATCGTACGACTACAGACGATGGATGCGAGTCCCAGTACAAAACAGGAGCGACTCCGCTGACAGATAACACCTTAACCCATGAGATAATCTCCCCTTCTTAACTGCAGCTCCCTCTATGCCACTAATTCCTCCTCCTCTCCGGCTCCACATTCTCCGACAACCCCCCGCAGCACAGAGCCACGGTACAGACTCCTCTGCTGCGAGTCCTGGTAGTAAAAAAAAACAAAAAAAAACATGGCAGCAGATTTTCTTCATTAGGTGGGAGTGACTCAGCAAAGCTCCACAGACAGGATACAGCCGGAGGGGGGGGGGGCTTTGGACCCAAACAACAGTGATGATAATAACAAATAAATGAATAAATAAGCTGAAAGAGGACATTGACGTGGAAGAGCTCTCATAAAAAACACTCCGCCCAAAAATGTTTTTCACAATCCCACCGTGACCTTGAGTCTAAAAAGACTCCGGGACCGTGAAGACACAGGCAGAGACACGACAAAGACACCATGGATGATATTAAAGGTCAAGTGGGATGAAACTGAGCCGTGAAACATCTGTTTGTCTTCACTGATTAATTTAGATTGTTTGCATTTTTGAGAGCATCTTAGGACGGAAGTCAAAGTTAATGATTTAAGCCAACATGGAACATTGGTGTCTGTAGACGACTGGATTTTGAGGAGGCGCAAGTTTATTATCTTGAATTTTGGTAAAGTTTAACCTTTGACTCCGCCAACAAACAATTTTGCAAACATCTTTTATGTCTTCAGGCTGTGTCTGGCTGGCTTTTCTTTGTAAGAATGAAGTCGTAGAGTAAGTCTCAATAAGATTGAAAACTGAGCAGCACTCGCAGCTGCACAGTTTGAGTTTAGCTCAAGTGCAAAGTGAAAAAAGAGAGAAAGAACTGAAACAGAAGTCAATTTGAAGAACAACAGAAGCATGGGAAATATGAGGGGAGCTACTATAGCAGCCAAACCGAGAGCTCAGCAGCCTCCTACCACTTCACATGCTTTCAGGGTACGACTCCAGCTGTGTCTGTGGTTGGTTTTGAATGGATTTGAGTGGTAAGCACTGTATGCAGGGGAATAATAATGACTGACATTGAGAAACAAAAGTGTTGGACCAAATGTTACATGATGGAAAATAATGTGGTGAGTAGCAGACTCAATATTTAGATGGACGACATGACGGCTGCCCAAACTGAAGCCAAAAGGTTTCAACCCCCCCCAAAACAACATGGACCAAACAAAAAAGTCAACTTTTTCAGTTCTTATCACACAGGTGTTCCTTCAGGTTTGGTTTTCATTAGTTCTTTGATGCTATCGTTACCGTGGAGACTCCAAATGACATCATCTGAATAGTGGTTCAGTCTATGATAGCACCGATAGCAAAGTCTAAAAATTTCGCCTTTCCCGTGTGGAGCTCTGCCTTTTTTTCTTAACAATCTTCACCATCTTTTTTATTCTTTTCCCCTTGTTAGAACAGTTTTCAGGACTTTGAATGTGCGTGACGTGCGACAAAAGGTCTCAGACCTCAGCGACATTAATTGGGCCGGGCCTGAGCAGTGGGAGAGAAGTCGAGGTGGGAGAGAACTACAGGCAGCTTCATCACAGCAAGACAGATGAAGAGCATTAGTCACATCAAAAGCGACACTTCCAGTTCAAGGTTGTCGTCTGAGCAGTGACACATACCGTGAGGAGCCACACTGTGGTGTGGGCTGACTGCAATTATCCATTCAAGCTTATTTATTTAGGGATAATTCACACAGTTAATTACAGTATATTCCCTGAGATGACCCTCTCCAACCCCACACACTAATAAATACCATTGAGGAGATAATGTCCTGCTGTTTAAAAGTAAAGCCACAAAAGCCTTTCCCTGTTAATTTAATTGGTATGATTCATGTCCTCTACCTTGACAAGATGTAGACAGCGGTGAGAGGGTGTAAGGTGTCGTGAGGGTGAGATCCATTGGCATGCACGCTCCTCTCCAGCGGTACAGCCGAGGCCGCGCAGGGGGAGTCTACGTAACTATCCAACGTCACCCCGGCTTAAAATATGGGCAGGGAGCTGCTTATTATGTATGGCCGGGTTAGCCTACAGGCCAGAGGGTATTATAATACTAAATCAAAATCTTAAAAAGCCACGACTGGGTAAGTACATATCGCAGCGTAATGTCAGCTCTGGTGAAGCTGGGATGAAAATATAAAGGATTTCTCAGTCAAGTCCGATAAATCTGAATCCATATGTAAAACAGCGAGCTAATCAGGCAAGTCTATTGGTTTACAGAGTCAGAAATGGGGGAGAGATGCTGCCGTTGGTTCCTAGGGACGGCAGTCGATGTTTGAAATCTTAGAGGACGGGACACTGAGTAGGCAAGCGAGCAAACACACATGCAGACTCGCAGGTCGCCAGAGAGAGAGAGAGAGAGAGAGACAGGCACGCAGTCAAAAATGTACCCGTGTGCACAGCTGAAGCAATGTTTCATCTGAGGGTGGAAGCACACACATCTCTCATTCCCACTCTCTCTGACCCTGTGTGCCGGCCTCTGTGAAGGGAAGCCAAGAAGCAGCATGCTCTCACTGATAATGTGCGTAAGCGGATGCAGCCCATCTCAGGCCCTTCCACAGCTCGGCCATGATGCTCCTCCAGTGTGTTTGAAACCACTTAAAGGTGCATTCACCAGCCCTGCCCGAGAAGACGCTTTGGTCTGCTCTGGTCACCCGGAGCGGCCGCACTTGTTTTGTTCCGACGAGAAATAAAAACGCAGATGAAGCTCGACTCACGGAGGCTGAATTTAAAGTCTCCAATTGGCCTTTTGAGCCAAACAGATACCTGTGAGAAATTATTTAAAGGCGTCGTCTTCTGCTCATATTCAGGTCGGTACATTTAATTTGTGTTAAAGAGGTTCACATGCTCTACATCACTTTCCTCATATTGTCCATTGCTCCTCTTTTCAGCCTCTTAGTTATAGCTCCTGTCTCTTTAAGCCCCCCCCCCTCCAGATAAAGCCTCTACTTGTCTTTTTAACTTTTTACATTCACAAAAACCTCTACGACACAAGGGAGGATAAGAAATTAGAAAATCATCACGTCTCCTGTAAA